GGGGCCGCGCTCCGGGCGGGGCTGGGCGCGGGCTGCACTCCGAGGGTCAGCGGGGCGGCGGAGCGGAGGGTGCAGGGCTGCGCGCCGTCCAGCACGGGGCACGGTGCCCCACGGGCAGGCCCCTCGGAGCCTTGCGGTGCAGCAGGTAAGGGCACCCGCAGGGCCGGGGAGGCTGAGCTGGCGGGGGGAGTACACGTGAGGCTTCTCGTCTTCCTTGGGGCCGCGGCGGCGAGGAGGGGGGCGGCGCAGACACGCAGCCGATCCTCCCGGGACGGAGCAGCGGGGTTCCCGGCGCCGCACGTGGGAGCACCGCGCTGGGCTCCCGGCCGCCCCGCCTGGAAAACGAGGGGCTTGTGGAGGGCGGCACGAAAGCTGCTTCCACATCCACAGACGTGCAGGCGAACACCTGCGGGCCAGCAGCAAGCGCCCGCGCGCAACGGCCCGCGGGGGCCCAGCGCGTCTGCTCGCTCGGCCCGAGCCGCTAGCTCTGCAGAGTTGGCGTGCCCGTTGGTCTCTGGCATATGCACCCCCGCTTCCCTATATGCACCCCAGTCCAGGGAAAAGCCCGGGGACTCGCCAATGCGTCTTCTGCGGCTAATAACATAGGTCTAGGCTGGGAGTCAGGAGACTGTTCCAGTTTACAGGTTGTAAACCTGTGCCAGTCGCCCACCCCCTCTGTGCCTTGTGCTTTCTTTTCCTGGATCACCCCCCATAAAACGGGCCTCTGGGCCCTGTTGCCCAGGCAATCCATGCGACAGGAGGGGAAAGGGGTCTGGACTTGGGAGTCTCTTTTCTAGAAAGCAGATGAGTTCAGACCTTGTGCGACGGCCCACGGAGAGTATCTCCTTCTGTCCCCCCAACCTACTCCTCGCCAATTTTTATATGTGGAAACTGAGGCCCAGGGGGAGAGAACTTGCCCAGGGTCACACCAGGAAACAGAAAGAACCCAAGTCTCCTCACTCCTAGTCCAGGACTTTCCCCACCTCACCTACAAAGGCGCATAGTAAATGTATAAGTTCCTCCCAGCACCCAGCTGCTGTCTCTCCAAATGGAAGAGACCCAATGCTGGAGCCATGGAAACTGCTCTCACATTTTCTTGACTCCTTGAGGTGATAACCAGCAACTTCCTTCATCCTTGCTCACTCCACAAGTCTCAAAACACATTTCTATCGCCCTTGCCAGTGTGTACTGTGGTTAGAGTGCCGGCAAGCACACCAAAGGGTCACGGGGTCCATTCTCCGTCCAGGGCACATACCTGGGCTGCAGGTTCATCTCCGGCTGGGTATGGGTGTGCACAGGAGGCAACTAACCGATGTGTCTCTCTCACATCGGTGTTTCTTCCTCTCTCTCTCTCTTTCTCTCTCTGAAGAAATACTCCAGTGAATTAGCAAAAACAACAACAACAAATTCTGTTCACAAAGCTGAATGGGTAGATGCTCAAAATACCTACTAAGAGAAAGGCAAGACCTTACTGATGGGGGAAATCAGGCCCAGAGTGGAGAAGACTTTACCAAGATACATGGGGAGACAAGTGGCAAAATAGGGGCAGGTCTCTTGATTCCCACTCTCGTGTGTTCTCCATCAACGGCAGTACTATAAAATGGTACCTCTAAACAGAAAGAGACGACAGGACTGATCATAGAGGATGAAAAACAAGGATGGCTGCTAAAGAATCAAGAAGAAAACTATGAACCTCTGGGTTCTTCTGAAGGTAGGAGGGTGGGGAGAGGGGGCACAGGGGTGGCTGTTCTTGGTAATATTGGAGTGGATGGGTGGGTAAGGAAACAAGGTGACCAGGCTTATCTCTTTTGTTTATATAATACTTTGCAATCTCTGAAACGCCTTCTCTTCTAATGCCTCCCCCGGTTCCCATGTGAAGTAATCAGGGGTAATTATCCCCATCTCATAGATGAGTTTCAGAGAACTTGCAGTGCTCAAGGTCACATAGCCAAGCATACAGCCAAGATTAGGACCATGAAAGGAACATTTGAAAGGCTAGATCACAGGCTGAGTGACTGGGAGTTGCTTTTGTGCAGTGGGTGGGTGTGTGTGGCCACACCCTAGATAGGTACACAGGAAAGAGGGTTGCAAAGCCACTGCCGGTGTTTTGGGGCCAAGAATATTTGCCCTTTGGATTGAACGGGGTTCAGGTCTCGGTTTCCAAAGCCCTGACTCACTTCCCCACCGGACTGAGATGATTTCTTTCCTTTGAGCCTCCCCTTTTCCAGATAAAATGGAATCTGTTTCGGCCTGCCCTTGAAGTTATTTTTTAAGTCATGTAAGCTGTTTGCATGAATGTGTATGTGTGTACTAAAGGGGGATGGTCTAATAAGAAGAGGCATTGATTAATTTATTCTTCAATGCCTGCTATGTGCTCAGGCCCAGGGAATAAAGAAATGTGTGACAGCCCTGGCTGGTGTGGCTCAGTTGGTTAGAGCATTGTCCCATTCACTGAAAGGTGGCAGTTCAATTCCCCGTCAGAGCACATACCTGGGTTTCTGGTTTGATCCCCAGTCGGGATGCATGCAGGAAGCAGATGATCTATGTTGCTCTCTCTCTTTCTCCCTTCCTCTCTCTAAAGTCTATAAAATTTAAGATTAAAAAAATAAAAGAAATGTATGACAGGTCCCTGCTCTCACACCACACAGTGCATATATATGTGTGTGTGTGTATGTATATATATGTTTGTGTATAGATAGATAGATAGATAGATAGATAGATAGATAGATAGATAGATAATAGATAGATATAGATTCTATATAGATACACACACATATAATTTCAGTACAGCATAGTGTTCTAATAGGGTTTTATGCAAAACACTTTAGGAACAGACAAGAAGGAGTGACTAGCTAGGGTGTGGGGAAGGGGTGTCTCAGGAGAGGGTCTACAGAGATGACATTGGAGCTACGTCTTGAAAGGTGTCATTCATCGTGCAGATAAAAAGAGGAAGGGCATTCCTGCCTAAGAAAACAGCATGAGCAAAGGTAAGAGGTATGCAAATGCAGGGAATATTTTGAGAATGGCCCATAGCTCAGTATCATGGGCTACAGTACACTGGGGAAAGTTGTGGTGAGATGGGACTAGAGGCAGGGTCACATCAAAAGAAGCTTGAATGATAATCAGAGAAGGTTAGACTATCCTACAGGCAACAGAGAACTTAGAGTGGAAAGATCTGTGGACTGGATACCTGTTTCTGGTCCCAACTCTATCCCTTCTGGGCTATGAGACCTTGAGCAAATGATTTCCTCTCTGGGGAGGACCTCTATTTTCCCTACTGGTTGAATGAGGGGGTTGCACCAATGACATGATTTTTAAGATTCTTTCTAGCTCAGATTCTATTCCTGCATCTCCTTCCAACTATATGATTAGATCCATTCCTGCAACTCTTCTCCCATCCATTGGCTTCCCAGTCCATGGTGGTGACAAGACCTCCAGAGGGACAAGTGACAAAATTATGCATCCCAGGAGTTATCTCTATTCCCTACATGCTTGATCTGACTCCCCCCACTCTGCCTCTCTCTACCACATTTCCAGGTACTTAAGACACTCATGTGTAAGAGTAGCTGAAACAGAGCAATGGGTAAACCAAAAAACCAATGGCGGCTTTTTGATTCTCACTCTTCCCCAGAAAAACCTGAAAGAAAATGCCACTAAGATACCCAGTTCATTCTTCAGATCACAGCTGTCTGCCTCAACCCCCAAGTTAGAGGTAAGGTGAGTTCAAGTAAAGAACACGTAGGGAGAACCTGTTAATGTGAAGGAAATTACAGCAATAGACTGTGGAGGAAGAGTGTGTGCCTGGCTTGTTCAGGGGACCAAGAGTAGGTCTGGAACAGAAAGGGCCATGGGAGAGGAGATTGTAAAGGAAGGTTAACTCCTCCAAAACTTACCACCTTGCCCCCTTACTGGATCCTTGATTAAGATGGGTGAGAATCAGTAGTCATGGAATTAGAGCAGATGATGCCCAGGACTCAAGGAGGCTGTGTTTGGTGTATATGCAGCTGAGATGTCAAGGAATGTTGCCATTAATAGTGAAAAAAGCACCCAAACAGCACTCCCAAAGACCTGGGTTGTCATCCGAGCTCTGCCTTGTCATTTTGAACAGGTCACTTTCCCTTCCTGAGCTTCAGTTTCCCCATCCAAAAAATAGAGGGGTTGGCCTAGAATCTAGATGCTAAATGATCTTTCTTGTTGTTGTTAATCTTCACCCAAAGATACTTTTTTCCGTTGATTTTTTTTTTTTTTTACAGAGAGTGGAAGGGAGGGAGGGAGGGAGAGAAAGAGAGAAAAACATTGATGTGAGAGAGACACATCGATTGGTTGCTTCCTGCACAAGCCCTGACAGGGGCCAGGGATCAAACCTGCAACCTAGGCACATGCCCTTGACTGGGAAGTGAACCCTCAACCCTTCGGTGCGTAGGCTGACACTCTAACCACTGAGCAACAGCAGCCAGGGCTAAGTGATCTTTAAAATCTTTCAGCTTCAGCAGTTCCTTCCTAACTGGTCTTTCTCCTGTTTCAAGTTAAGGCCTCTGTAGGGCAAGAGCTATGCCTCCTTCGTCATTATAATTAACTTTATAATCAGTGATTATCTTAAAAGAGGGAAGCCAAGGAACACAGAATGAGGAACAAAATTCCAGATGTTGCCAACTGCAACAGATCCCCAACTTGGGACCCAGAGGCAGGTCATAGAGAACCAACCTGTCCCTTTATCAACTTTCTACCTCTCCTGAGCCAACAGGACAGGATGTCCTTGCACCCAGGCCCTCTCTCCCACTCCAATCCAGCACCTAAAGATAAGTAACTATGGCTTCTTTTCTTCTTTCATCAGACCACAAGCATCCAGGTCTACTCAGAGAGGTCTTTGCACTGAATCTCACCTCAAAGCCTACTCCGTCCCCACACTGTCCCCCTACCCCCACTTTCTGCACAGATTCTGTCTCCTCCCCAGGCCAAATCACCCTGGCAGGTAAACTGTTAAGAGGAAAAATGAGCAAGTCAGCAGTTCTGTTCTCAGTTTTTCTAGGCTAGAATATTAAGTGTAACTCAGGCCCAGGGCTCGGAATTTTAACTTGTGAGGAAAAAGTCCTCAGCCTTATCTATCTTGTGATTTGAGAGGCTCTAGAAAGCCCCCAAAATGCCCATCCCACCAGCTTATCCAATGTTCCATAAGCTCACAGTGTGGTTTTGTGATTCGTACCCTTGTGGGATATCAGAGCTGACCAGAACCTTACAGGAAAACCCCTTCGATTTGTAGATGCAGACAGAAGCTGGGGCCCAGAAAAGGGAAGTCACATGCCCAAAGTCACACACATAACAGCTGAATCAAGACAGCTCTTTGGGTTCCCATTTCCTTCACTATAGAATGAGGGAGGTTACAATGGATGGACTCTGAACGCCCTGCCAGCCTCTGTTCTACAAAAATAAAACCATCGCTGTGTCTGTAGAATGTCTAGTACCAGGCACTGAATATTTTTCTTCTTTAATTTTCACAGTGAGCCATGCCACAGGAAGTGCTGATGCTGTGACCATGTTTATACCCAGTCTATTCAAATAGGTGATTGTGAATATCATTTGTTCCTATGTAAAATATCAACCCAGCTGCCAACTGCCATTCTGCCACTTACATCATTCCTCGGCTCTTGGGCCCTTTCAGCCTTTCAGAAGCTCCCACTAAGACACTAGTACCCTTGAAAAAGGGAATGTTTTAGGCTGGTCCCTGAGCAGGAGCCCACATGTTAAACTGAGGTTCCTCATGAAGTCACCCGTTTGAAACATTGTGGGCCCCGAGTTGGGGGACAGCAATCAGATATCCCTTGGCCACTGTACAGTTCCTGTAACTGTAACCCTAGGCTGACCTGACCCAGCTGCTGCAGGAAGGGGAGGAGAAGTAGGAGGGGGTCAAAGCCCACAGCAAGGCTATTGCACAACCCTTGGGGCGCAGCCTTGGGTGATCCACCCTGGTTCTGAAGTTTTTTTCTATGTCTGGTTCCTTCCTTTTCTGCCCCCCCATCTCCTGCTTTTCAGTGCTGAGCCTTCCCAACTCCTGAAGTGAATACTGAAACCCCAAATGTGCCCAGAGACGTCCTGAAGAGACTGAGGGGCTGAGGAGCTTTAGGGCGCCCAGAAGGAGATTCCTGAATCCGACTCAGAGCCAGAGAATTGCCTGCTGTTTGGTGAGTTTTCCAGACTGGGGTTGCCCTCCCTCTGTGCTGTCAGTTAAAACCCCCCTGTAAGGATATCTAAGAAACTGGTAACAGTGACTGCCCTGAGAAAGAGCCCTGGGACACTAGGGATAGGGAGACTTCACCTTCATTGTATGTCCTATGTATACATATTTACTTCTCAAAAATGAAAGACAGGTTTTCATTTTAATGGAAAATCATGTTTACATTAATATATATTTGAAAAATCTTCTTTACCATAATAAAAGTATATGCTCAAGCAAGCCTGGAGGGAGGCAAGGCAGGAGTGATAATCTTTTTTTTTTATTTAATTGTGGTAAAAAAAAAAAAATCCACATAACATAAAATTGACCATGTTAACTATTTTTAAGTGTGCAGCTCAGTAGTGTTAACTATATTCACAGTGTTGTACAATAGTTTTCTAGAGCTTTTTCCTCTTGCAAAACTAAAACTCTACACCCACTGAACAACCCCTTATGTTAATCTTTTTTTGATTGATGAGGAAACTGAAGCCCAAACGGGGTGAGAAATTTATTTCTCTCAAATTGGGCTCCTCCAGGCTCTTACACCATCTGTCTACCTGTAAAACTGGCTGAGGCCCCTTCCTCCCTTAACCCTTGCATTAGCCATTCCCTCCCCTAAATGCCTCTCACACCGCACATCTGTCCCTGCCCCAACCTTGCCTTTCCCTAGGCCCCAGCTCAGGACTCAGTGTCTTTCAGCTGAACTGTTTCAAGACCTTTGTCACTGGGCTTTCTGCCTTAAATCTTGCCCCTAATTCAGTCCACATAGCAGCCAGAGTGTCCTTTCCAAGCACAGATCTGATCTTTGTATCCCCCTTTTAAATACTGTTTCATGGCTCTTCCCCAACTACAGGATAAAGTTCTAGCTCTGCAGTGTGGCACTCAAGGCCCTCCATGATCTGGTTCAGGCCAGTTTCTCCATCCCACATCCTATCATAGCTTTCCATACATCTTACACTCTGACCTCTTTATGCTACTTTCCATTCTGTTAAACATTTTATGTGCTTTCTTGTTGCCATGCCTTTGTTTATCTGTTTCCTTTTCTTGCCTTTTCTACTTCCTAAAACCCTTCAAGGTCCACTGAAATGCCTCCACCACTATGAAAACCTCTGAGCCCTGATAAAAATTCATCCCTTCTTCCTTTACACCCCAGTAGACCCTGGCTTGTCCCCTGTATTATAGAAGAGCTGGCAATATGCCTGCAAGTACAGGGACTGGGTCTGAGCCTGCCCAAGAGTGGGCCTCTGTAAATGATGACTGGTTTGAATGATTAGTTGAGCCAGTAATTTCATCGTGCTGTTCCTGATTTAGAATTGGCCCATATGAGGGAAGAAGGCACAGATTTCTTGCCTGAGAAGTGGAGTAATGGATGAGAACCTATGCCTCCTGGATCTTAACTCATCAAGCCCCTCCTATATCCAGATAAGGTAGCCCAAGTGCTATATAGCATGAGGCCCCAAAGGCCTTGCTGGAAATGTGGGTCAGTCCTGGGCGATTGCTATATTATTTAGATTCTTCCCCGAACTTCTGCATTCTTAGGGTTGTTCATGAATATCTGTCATGGTCAAAATTAACGGTCATCTTTTCTGGGAAAGAAACTTTATGGTTGACAATCAAGTTTGTTAACTTTGGTTGGTTGACAGCTCTACCTAGATAAAAGAGGGCTTTGGAACCAGTCAGTGAACTCTGAGTGCTTGGACTATGGAGAAGTCCCTAACGTGGCCATCTTTACTAGAGACTATTAAGGAAAGGAGAACACCCAGCCAGTCTAAGGGTAGATCACCAGGGAAGGAGAATTCCTAGCCAATCTCAGGGTAGCCCCCTAGATTTAGGGGAGAGACACAGCCCTGCTGACCAGAAGTATGTGGTCTGCTGTAAAAGCCTTATCAATAACAAGAAACAGCCACTCATTGCCTTATATGTAAGTGCTGGGCAAAGGGAAGGCTGTGACGATAAAGCTTGTGAAGTATGGTTAAGGGGTGGGGAACACTCAGTGAAGGTTTCCAGAAGAAAGTGGGTGTGGAGCCTTGTTTAAAGGGAATGACATATGGTTTTTTAGAGACTAGTATACAAGGCTGTCTTCAGATGTTTTTCTATATTATAGACTAAGGATCTCCGAGAAGGAGGAAAAGGAACATTTATAATTACCTATCATATGCCAGGTACACAGTGATTGTGTCAGATGGCAGGATAGTTGAGGTGCTGTGTCTTCCCTCTCTGGGACAGGTAAAACCCCAAATCAGACTGAGTGTCCCTGTCACTCCCCACTCTCAGGCCGAACCATGTTCTTTTCTCCAGTGCCTACAGTGGCTATCAGCCTCTCTCTGCTTCGCCAGCCAACTCCTTTCCAACAGAATTGCCTACAGAATCCTTTCCAGCAAAATCCTAAATAGCTAGGAATAAAGAACTGTGCTGAAGGAGAGTCCTGAGAAATATCTTCCAATAATGCCACACAGTCCTTCCAAGAGCTGGCATGAGAGTCAAGAAACTCTGAGCTGGCCATCAAAAAAGGACTCTATCTCAACTCTACCTCTAAATATTCTCTGGGATCATGGTCAAGCCACTTATTCTCTCTGGACCCCTTTTCCCTGTATGTAAAATAGAAGGAGTTAGATTAAATAATCCTTAATGTTCCTTCTAGCCTATAGCTCGGTGACTTACAGAATCCAAAAAAGGGACAGATCAACATGAGTTACAATGGCCAAGGAAGGCTTTATTCCACAGGTACTTACTGAGCATCTGTTGAGTGCTGTCATGACTATTATATATAGCAATGAGTAAAACATAGTCCCTGCCTTCATTGAGCTTGCAGTCTAGTGGAGAAGACAGACGAGTAGGAAGTAAAATGAACTGTGATGTCGGGATTTTAGCTGGGTCTGAAGTGAGGAGATCAGTCAAGCTGCAGGTAATAGAAGCCATCCTTCCTCTTTTCTGTTGCCACCAGAGTGACCTCCAGCTCTTCCCCACCTGAATCCCTGTTGCTATGGAGATCACCAATGGGACTGAGACCTGGTATCAGAGTCTGCATGCTGTTCTGAAGGCTCTAAATGCCACTCTTCACAGCAACTTGCTCTGCCGGCCAGGGCCAGACAACCTGACTGAGGAGCGGCGGGCCAGCATGCCTGGCCGTGATGACAACTCCTACATGTATATTCTCTTTGTCATGTTTCTATTTGCTGCCACTGTGGGCAGCCTCATCCTGGGATACACCCGCTCCCGCAAAGTGGACAAGCGCAGTGACCCCTACCATGTGTACATCAAGAACCGTGTGTCTATGATCTGATGCTGGGAACCCAGGATGGCTCAAGATCAAGACACCTGAGGACAGTCTTCTGGGCTTCCAGAACTCAGCCGTGGATTACATCGGGCTTCAGTGTTCGTATCTGCAAGATCAAAAAGGAACAGTGCTAAGGGATGTTGGCACTGGGCTGGGAGGAGAGGGGCCAACCTAGGCCTTGTGGAAAAGAAGTTTTTTCCAGCAAAGATGGACTTGATAGACAGTGGGAACCATGAACAATTATATAGAAGTAGCAAAAGATAATAACCAATGACCGGTCCAGTGGCTGGAGTATCAAGGGTGGGGACTAGGGACTTAAGGAAGGAAAAAAGGAAGTTGTAGCAGAGGGAAATGAAACAGAAAAATGTACGGAGGACACATTTGTGTGTGTGTTATCTTCAATGACCATGAGAAGCAGCAGTGATTATCCCAGGTCACAGATAGGTATAATGTTACTGATTTACAACTGTTCACATTTTATGTTTTCCAACTCATTTAACATTTGTGATTTTGTCCCCCCTGTGAGGGAAGCAGGGCCAGTCCCATTCTGTCACTTTGGGCCAGAGCAGTGCCACGACTGGAACTCAAGAACTCTGGTCTCCTTGCCCAGTGCTTTTCAAAACTGTGCCACGTAGGAGTGGACCCAGGCCTAAAAGTCACACAATTCTGGGAGCCCTCCTTAAGGAAAAAAATTCAAAAATATCCTACTTATGCAAATACTACAAAAACATATTACCATGTTAATGCATTCCTAGGGCCCTTCCTAAGACCTTAAGAAGGAGCCATGCATGTGCAGGGCTCTGAATGACCTCATTAGCTCCATGGTTCATGTGACTCTCCAGCCACGTCGCAGTTGTCCCAGTGCCCTTCCCAGCCACAACCACAGTCATGAGGTTTCACCACCTCCAATGCAGCCTCTTCCATTGGGAGTTTTGTGAGAAATTTTCTAATACCAAGTTGAAATCTGCATCTATAAGATTATTAGCACACTTGGAAGGTTATATTAAAAGAAGCAGAGTGTGCAAGGCCAGTACCTGGTTCAGTGGAAAGAGAACCAGTCCTGCTTCTACCACTAATGTGGTATGTGACCCTGGCTGAACATGTCTCTATCTGACCCCTTTCCCTCTTTAGCACAGTGAAATGGTTAGACTTGAAAGTCTAAGAGCTTCACCAGTTCTGACATTCTAGGCTTCATGTACGGTAGGTAGAACCATATAAAACTGCTGTGTTTGTGGGTCAAAAACAGCTGAATATCAGTAGTTTCATACGGTTCAATCTAATATGTGCAATGTGGCAGGTGAGTACTTTATAAGCTGCAAATCCCAGGCTGGAACCTCCCACTATTGGTTTGATTTCTATTTAAGAAATCTCCATGGGGGTCTCCAAAAGGCCCTACTGAAGCATACACTTTCATGTATAGCAAAAACTCTGAAATGATACTTTGGTATCAGTTTTCTTTGAGGAGAAAGATTATGGGTGATGTTCCTTTTCTACTTTAAAATTTTATGTACTATTTGATTTATTTGACCATAAGTATGTTACTTATATAGTAAGGGGGGTGGGGAGCTACTTTGAAAAATTAAAAATAAACGCTTATGTGTTTTTTTTTAATTGTTGACACTATTACAGATGTCCCTCATTTCCTCTCCTTTGCCCTCCTGCACCCCCTTCCACCCAGCTACGGCTCACTGCCCCTGGCACCACATTGTTGTCTGTGTCCATGGGCTATGCATATATGTTAATGCCTATATGTTTCTTGCATGGAGAATCACAGAACATGTTTGTTCCCATGAGCAATTATGTTCACTCCCTGCAAATCTGTGCTGAGTCCATATGTGGTCAAGCCTTTGCTTATCTCTTCTTGGGGGAGAAGGTGGAGACCTGTTTTAAGATGTGACATATGGCCCTAGCTGGTGTTGCTCAGCGGTTAGAGCATCGGCCTGTGCACACACCATAGGGTTGCCGGTTCTATTCCCAGTCAAGAGCACATACCTAGATTGCAGGTTCGTCCCCACCCCTATCGGGGTGCTTGCTGGGGGGCAACCAATTAATGTGTCTCTCTTCATCGATCTCTCTCTGTCTCTGTCTTTCTTCCTCCTTCCCTCCCTTCTACTCTCTCAAAATCAATGGAAAAAATATCTTTGGGTATTACAAAAAATAATAAGATGTGACATATGGGAAGACAACAGACTCAGAAGTCTATAGCTGGTTGGGACTTTAAAGACCACCCAGACCCAAATCCCAAATAAAATGTGGAATGCAGTCAAGTGTAAGAATAAATGGGCAGGCAATGGATGCTTAAAGAGTTTTGAGAAATGAGATTGAGTAGATCCAGGAGTCAGAGAAAGGTAGAATTTGAACTGGGCTTTGAAAGATAGGACAGATCTATATGGGCAGAGTGAAGGGAACAAGACAAGGGAAGCTTGGAAACAGAAATGGGGCAAGACCAGCCGCCTGAAGAGAGAAAGCCGGCCCAGTGTGGCCACTCTGGATTTAAGTGTCCCCATCCTGGGAGGAGGCTCCCCTTCACAGAGTCCTTATACTCACAGGGCTTAATAATAAAATAATACAAATTCTTTTGCTTACAAGTTGCAGAAACCCAATATATATTAGCATAAGCACAAAAGAGGATGTATTGAGAGGAGTAAGGGGTAGTCAAAAGAGATGCTGCAGATAGCAGGGCAACTCCAAGGATCTCTGGGCATGAAACTACTTACTTGTCTGAATTCACTTGTCAGTATATCTCACACATCCAGGGTTGGACTAAATAAAATTCTATGATTTTAAGGTGGTATAATTTAAACATTCTAATATTCTGTGATACAGTTACTCTCCTCAGCCCTCCCACCCTCTACTACACCCTAGTTGTCCTGAGCGCCATCCCACTTCCTCCAGAGGCTCTTTTGTCTGCACTGGGTCTGCCCTCTGCTGGCCAGATCCAGAATATCGCCTGAGTCCTCAAAGCCAAACTTCAGTAATTGCTCATTCAACAGATACTTATTGAATGCCTACTATGTGCCAAGCACTCATTTAGGCACACATGGAATACGTAAGTAAAGAAAAAAGATCAAAGAAACCTCTGTCCAATAGTTAAGAGCATTTTCTACAAATTAGGCAGTGGTCTAAACATTTTACAAACATTAACTCACTTAACTTTTAAAACCTTCGTAACAACCCCATTTAGTAGATTCCTTCCAATTACTTCAATAGAACCCACTTGTTCTTCATCTAGCTCCTTCAGCACCTTCAACCCAGTTTCGGCACGTTGGCAAACCCAGCCCAGAGCACGGATCTGAACAGTCCCCAGAAGTGAATGGGAAAGTGATTTGGGGAAGTGATGGCAGAGTAGTGACACCAGTAGACTGAAGTTGGAAGTGGAGACTGAGATAGGCACTTATTGAGGGAGCATTTTTCAGGGAGAACCTGCAAGGTTGAGAGTGAAGCAGAAAGGAAAGGGAAAAAGCCAAACAAGATGTGACTCAGGTCATGTCTAGCCCTGGCCTGATCCACAGGGAATTGTTATACATGGCTGGGGCATAAACCACATGACAAGATTACAGCCCCCTGAGTTAAGGGGGAAGGCCTTTTATGCCCGCATATCAGTCAGTCATCAGTTGAGGGACATCCATGTGGGGAGCAGGGACAAGAGGAGGGTTGTAAGGAGGTTCCATCAGCGGAGGGCGATTCTCTGGAGAAGGGTGGAACCTGGAGCTATTGCAGGCTAGAGTAGTGGGAGAAAGCTAAGCAAGGAAATTGTCTTGATTGGAGATTAACAACAGCTTGGTTCTTCAGGAAGGTGCTAAAGCTCAATTTCCATTACAGAACTGGCCCCACCTTCTGTGACTATCCTCTTCTACCTCACATCAGTCATCATCATTGGCTGCTGGCCGCCAGAGGGGGTAATTAACCTCGGAGGCTCACCCTTGGCTGAGGCCAAGTCTTTGAAGAAGGGGCATCTCTGAGCTGATGGCAGCCAACACTTGCAGCAGCTGGGGAAGGAGTCTGCGTGGGACTGTCAGCACGCACTACAGCTGTGCTTTTGGGGACAGGAGCAGAAGCAGAGTGTCACATCTTGGAAGCTCCTTCTAGCACACACCAAAAAAAGAACAAAACAGGATAGCACCAAATAGAACTGAGTTGGAAAACAGTATAGTCAAGTACCCGAAAATGTGGGGAACAGATATTAAATGTTATGGTCTAGAAGAGGAAGGGAAGTATTCATGGATGTTTCCTGGACACTTGACGAAGGATATGAAGAACTGGTAGGATTTCATTAGGATGTCCAATGTAGTATGGTCCAAGGTGGTGGGTGTTCTAAGTACATGGATGGCTCTGCTCTATTCAGTTATTCAGGGACCCAGAATGATTACCATCCTCAATATGTAGCTTCCCAGTTTACTATGGTGTAAGCATTTCTGATTAGTGAGGACAGAGAAAGAAGTTCAGGGCCAGAGATTTATTCTTAAACAAGCAAGGCATGGGCTGCATACAAGCTTTCTGCTCACATTCACTGACGAGGGCTCAGTAACGTGGCCACAACTGGCTCCGAGGGGCGCCGGCAAACGAGGCTCCTATCAGGGCAATCATTGTCCAGCCAAATCTCTATTACTATGGAAGGAACTAATGGATTTTGGTAGACAGCTAGTAGTCTTCACCCTGCCATTCTCACCCTTCCTCCAAGACTGGTCATGATAAAAAAAAAAATGTACAGCCTGCCAAGGAAGAAGTGCTGCTACTCTGATTTGATCATGTGTGGTGTGGTGTGGTGTTGTTTTTTGGGGGGGAGGGGTGCCTTGTGGGAATAACTAAACCTGTCCTGGGAGTGTGAATTTCGCTCAGTTTTTTCTGGCACTGGTCTCTCCTCTCATTGGAATGGTAATGTCTAAGACATTGGTCTAAGCATAGGGGAAACAGACAAAGCAAGGCTTTCAGCCAAACTTGTATAGGAAAAAGACTCCTCTTTCAGGTGCCTCTGAGAAACCAAGAACGTGATCTGCCTGCATGAAATCAGAGAACCCCATCTGTGGCAGGGTTTAACTGTGACAGAGAATGAGCTCCTGGGAGCAGGAGAGTCAGAAGTTAGTAAGCAAGAAAGAAAGAAGGAAGAAAAACTAATATTTGATGAGCAATGAATCTCTGCCAGGCACTGTGCTGGGAATCTGCATGTTACCTTATTTTACCCTTTTAAAAACTCCTGAGGTAATTATTTTTATCCCCATTTTATAGATGAAGAAACAGAAGCTCAGAAGCGAAATAGCTTGTTTAATATTCACTGAATACGTGGAGCTGTCTAGATTTTTAGCACAAACTTGCCTGGATTCTAAGCCCGTGTGCTCCCCAGCAGAGCTCTGAGCACATCTGATTCTCTCTCCCGGCAGACCCTGTGGCTGGCCTCTCTGATCCCCTTCAGGGGTCAAGTAGAGTAGGCAGGATCTATCCTTGCCCAGCTCCTTCAACCCCCAGCCAAGTGCCTTAAAAAATACATAAATAAATAAAAATAAAAATAAAAGATGGCATTGTCACAATGCTTATGGGGATAATAAACTAATTGGCACATCTCTTGTGTGAGGGCCCCTGAGTCCCTACAATGCTGACTCTCCAGAATGGGAACAAAGAAGCCAGCCACTAAATTTGCTGGGAGATCTGGAAGGTTTAATCCCTAGAAAGGATCTAATGTGAATCATTGGTGCATCCCCCTCAGTTGGGGAGAGGAGATTATCTAAATCAATCTCAAGAGGGCTCCGTGGGATAGCTGTAGGGTTACAGTTCTGCTCCCGATCCATTGTTTATTCATTCATTCAACAGGTATTTATGAAGTTCCTAGATGTCCGGCAATGGGTTTGGCTCTAAGAATACGGAAGAAAACAAAATAGGCAGAGTCCTTTCCTTCATGGAGCAAGGATCACCACACCCACTTCAGTTTTTCAATTTCTGCCTGGCCAGGCGTGGCTCAGCAGTTGAGCATGGACCTAGGATCCAGGCCATTAGGGTTCGATTCCCGGTCAGGGCACATGCCCGGGTTGCAGGCTCAATCCCCAGTCGGGAGCGTGCAGGAGGCAGCCAATCAATGACTCTCTCATCACTGATGTTTCTATCTTTCTCTCTCATTTCCTCTCTCTGAAATCAATAAAGATATATTTTTTTAAAAATTTCAATTTCTATGAAGCTTTACATTGCCCCCCACCCACTTGAGCCCCTCTCTAAGTGAAGGAGACTTCTTTTACTAAACTTACTACCCTGTTTATAATTTTATAATTTTTTATCACATTGTACTCTTTTGGCATATCTTTTCCCCTTCCTAGAAACAGTGCAAGGGTGCAGGCAGGGACCATGTCTAATGCATCTCTATGCCCCCATCCAGCAGGATAAGGCTTGGCACAAAGTGGATGCTTAATTAATATCAGTGGAATGAATCAACATTATTATAAGTATTATGCAACATAATCTCTCACATGTGTACTGTGCTTCCAACCCTTTGAAGTATTTCCATCTCCATTATCTCATTTGATTTAGAGAGTTTGGTCCAGTGGACTCGATTAAAAGTGGATGCAAGAGCATTTTGTAAAATATAAGGAATAAGGGATTGTTATTGAACT